GTGTTGTGATAGCAGGCATTTTGGTAAATTTTCTGCAAGATTAATGCATATACTCTGATCTCTAAGTCCTCATGCACACTGGACGTTTTTACAGCGGCTGTTTTTGGTTTTTGACATTTTTTTTCCCACAGCTAGTAAACCCTCCCATGTTATCCTATGTGTCCATGCACACATAGACTGTAATAAACATTTTTTGGCAGGGGTATTTTTGGCTGAGAAAAAAAAAAAAAAAAAACTGGACTGGTGGGTTTCTAGAGGAGTTTTTTAGCTGGAAAAATGCTCTAACGATGAAAAAAGCAGCAGCAAAATACGTAAAACACCGCAAACCGGCGTTTTTTGGACTTTTTTTGACCGAAAAAAAAAAATTATTTTTTTTAATTAAAAAAATGCTAAAAACCGCAAACGTGGAAAAACACCGCTAAACGTGGCAAAACACTAAATAAAGCTAAACAAATCACGTTTTTAACGTGACTTTACACAGCTAACGTTACCAGCGTTATAAAAACTTCCAGAGTGCATGAGGACTTACACTTGGCTTGGTCCAGCTCAAGATGATCATCGAAAGAATGGCCAAGCAGAAAAAGAGCAGGATGTTGCGTCCGTACTGGGTGCATCCAATAGCTTTGCTGAATTTCCAAGGGGAATTTTTTACTCCTCGAAGTCCAAAAGCTCTTTAATTATATCTCATAAAATTGACCACGTTTGAAGCCCTTCTTAGTTTGTTAGACCCAGACTGACACATCACAACTGATATGAGACATCCCGTGTCACCAGAAGAACGCTGTGATGATTGTGCGCAATAGAGACATGGACGCTGTACGTGACAGCCATCTTTTAGGCCTCAGCCATTTTGTCTTTCCTTTCCTCCCTCTTGAAATGGAATTTGTAGCTGTAAGTTGAACAAACTTCAAAAGGGCCTCTTATCTTAAATAAAACACAGATAGATGAAGCTCCAGAGCTGTAAACCGCTAATTGGTCTGGTGAAGGTGGTCTGTTTTGAAAACCACTTTCCTCTGCCCCATCGCAAAACAATAACTCAGTCAGCCATGACCTGTTAGACCATTAGGGCTCTAGGATGCAGAGCATGCCATAAAATGTCCATTCCACATGTAACCATTTCACATACAATTCATAAAGTTCATGAGGAACTGGGCACCATAATATTAGGTACATATTTGGATAGATTATTTTTATGCAAGCCCAACAAGATCATACGTGACTATATTAGCACATAGGAGAGAGAAGAAAGCAGTCTCTTCCCTTCTGGGTGACAAGGGTATGCTGTGTTTGGTATCCCTGGGTTTGAAATGTAATTCTGAATATTAATCTGCCAGTTGCTAGAATACCACCTGCACATACTGGAAGTTATTAATATTAGTATGAAACTGAAGTTGGGACTTGGTCATTAACGTGGGGGCTGCCTAGCACCCATCCCCAAACTGGATGATTGGTTAGTTGTTCTCAGGCAACACCCCTTTAATATCATAGAAAGAGACGGACAGGCCTAGGGAAAGAGCTATCGTTTAACATCAATCAAGAAACATCTAACGGACTTGAGAGCAAAGGCAACCTTTTTGCTTAGACAATTGGATTCTGCTGAAACCAAGGACTGCAAGTATTCTGCCTTCTTAACTCCTTTCTTTTATTTCTCTGTTGCTTTATTGTTCTCTTTATGTCTTTGTAACATCTTTTCCTGTAAATATTTTAATTGCACCATTTTGACTGTTTAGTAATAAATCCTATTTTGAAAAGTGTTGAAACTGTCTCTAAAGCTTTTAATGCAAACTAAAGAATCCCTGTCTCTTGAAGAGTGCTACTGTATGTAATAACCCTCTGAATAGACCTGTCTGTGGTGACAGTGTGTGGGTTACAGACGCTTATGCTAAAATCATTGTGTTATTGCTAGGATTTGTGAGTTTCCTCCTTCTCTGTACAAAGGTGGTGGTAGCAGTGTGAAGGGTTAACTGCGTAATTAACCTAACCCAGTAACAATCGCTCTCAGGCTGCTGGCACACAGATTGTGGTCCCGAGAGCTGGAAAATCTTTGTGCAGGGTGCAGCTGAGAGTGGCATTGTTACGCAAGTGACAGCACTGTGTGAGATCGGCTGGACCTTCGGTCACGAGTTGGTGAAAAGGGCAGGGGTCGGGCGCCGTGTTCTGTCACAAACGTCTCCTTTTAACTTTGTGGTCAGTCGTGTCCAAGTATTCTCTTTATTGCCATTTCTGAAGCTCTCATCCAGTCCCCCTGCCTTATGATTGGCAGTGAGTGGATTTCATAGTTGATATTTGTCAGGTATTGAATCTGCAAACTGCTCACTTCTTCTGCGAGTACAGATACATTAATATCAGCCTTTATGACACTTGCTGGTACCGTCACCTCCATGTACCAACACTTGCTGGTAGGGTCATTTGCTTGCACCAACATTTTGCTGACACATAAAGCTTTGCCACTGGCAATAATGCTCAATGCCTCTACTCCTGCCTGGCACTGTCAGTATTGCTTGCTGGCTTGATGCTTTTGCCTGCACACAGAAGCAAATGGTGTTACCACTCGGCTCCTCTTTTCCAACAGAAAGTGGCTAGAGCTGCTCTGTCCTAGTTCTCTATTATTTCCCAGTGCATTCTGGGATTAAGGAACCTATACTCCCGCTCCCACAGCAGTAATGCCATGCACACGATGAAAAAATTGTACGAAAAATACAGCTTTTGGAGCAATCGCCCGATAATCTCATTGTTGGCACACAGCTTTCAAGAGCCGATCATGATAGTTCATGCAAAATTACCCGAAGTGACAAGCATTAAAAAGTTTCTCATACGATACCAGAATTAACAATTTTTGTTTAATCAGTACAGTATTCAGAAGAAAAAAAATTGAGTGACCAAGACCACGCATGCTCGAAATCTAAATACTGAATATTACAATATATTACATCATTTCTTTATTTGTATTCTGTCGTACACAAACTTATACCACCTCTTTTTCGATATGAGACTAGCATGCAAAAAAAAAACCCCATAAAACAGACGATCATTCCGATATTCTCATCGTGTGTACGAAACTTAAGCTAACACTTCATAAATGCTTCACTAATGCACCGTAAATGCTATAGGTGCAGTTAAGGTGTGGTTATGGCGTGCTACCATAGAAATTAATAAATGGCTGATAAGCAACAATGCCTCCTGAAAGAAACATACTACTTCATTTTTTAAAAACAACACTGTTGTGCTCATTGTAATATTTATGGCAGGCATTGAAGGGTGGTTGAGAGGCTTAACCACTTGCCCTCCAAATGATATACTGTATCTCCTTCGTAACCAAGCCATTTGTTGCAATACACTGCTGCTTAACTGCGGTCATGCAACACTGCACCTAATTGCCTCTGCGATTTTTATTTCTTGCACTATAAACAAAAAAAGACTGACAATTTAAAAAAAAAACAATATTTTTGACTTTTTGCTATAAAAACATATCCAATAAAAAAATTTTAAAAATCAAATTTTGTCATAAATTTAGGCCAAAATGTATTCTGCTACATGTCTTTGCTAAAACAAAATCAAAATACATGTAAATTAATTGGTTTATGTGAAAGTTATAGTGTCTACAAATGGCAGAATATATCCTGGAATTTTTTTTTTTTTCATACTAGTAATGGCAGCGATCAGCAACTTATAGTGGGACTGAGGCGGGCATTCTGAGACTGGGGGGAGCTGACTAACTGCCACTGACATCCCAATGACACAAACAGTGATCAGTGCTAATAAAAAGCACTGACACTGTACTAATGACAATGGAGAGGAAGGGGTTAACATCTGGGGCGATTAAAGGGTTAACTCTGTGCTGTTTTACTGTGTGTACTTTAGTAGGGGAATATGCTGCTTTGTATTGCTCTGCTATGCTTTGTATCTCTAGCTAAAACCCCTCCAATTTACCCTTCCCAGTATTAATGGGGACACCTGCTTACTAAAAGGAAGGTTCTGCTCACTTTGGAGAGATTTTTACTCACTCCCTGTTTTATCTCCAGAATGGGACGTGCCAGAGGTCCTAAACCTTCCCTGCATTATCCAGAGAAACTAATCACTGAATATTAGGGACCATGGGGTCCATTGGATCCCTTTGATATAGCTGGATTCTGGAAGAGGGGGAGAGAATAACTTCCCACTTCCCATCCCAAAATGCAAACATTGGTCTCTAAGCAAATGATTGCCATGCCAGATTATGTTGGGTCTGTATGAAAACATTTAAAGAAAGTTGGTATTTGTCTAGGATATTCCGGTGTCCAATACAACCAGTCTAGCTGTCATCAATAGAACTGACTTATACAAAGCATAAAATCACTTATACAAGACTAGAAAGAGTAATCTGAAATCTGCAGTAAGGTAAAACACGCCTTGGCCTGGCACTGTGGAATGTAATGACTAATGCAGTATCTCAGACAACATGATTACAACATGAGTGGCTGTGATTCACAGCAAAGGCCAGAGAAAGCAAATATGATTAAGGACTTCAAAAAGGCTTACAAGAATCTACAAGGATTTATGACATACACTGAACAGGGACATACTAAAACAGAAAAAAATAGCCTTCGTTGACTTGGAGGTTTTGCAATTTGTTTCAAAGGAAACAAAGTCCAGCACAAAAAATAAAAGCAAAACTACAAGAGAATGCAATCAAATTACATGTCATTTAGCTCTTGTAATTATTTGCAAACATGCGGTTGTATATTTCAAACAAATTGACACATGACATTTAAAATACATTAGTTCAAAATGTCCACTGCTAGAAATGTTCAACATGAGGTTTCCAGTGGCTAACGAAAAAAAAATCTACAGTTCTCTTAAAGTGGAACTAAACTGCATATGAGCACCACAAATTAAAAAACGATATTTAACATGTGGGGCAATGAAAGGGTTAACTGTGTGCTGTTTTACTATGTGTGCTGTCTTAGTGCTTCACTTCACTTTGCATGGCTATGCACAGCCATGCAAAGCAGTGTGCAGGAGCTGACAGGGGAGAGAATTTTTTTGTTTGCAAACAGTTCTCATCTCCCCCGTCAGAGATGTTCGGCAATCGGGAGCCGGAGAGTAATCACCGGCCGGGACCCGGTGATTGACAGCCAAGGACTCTAATGACAGCGAGGGAGGGCACACGTGCTCCTTACCCTAAAGTGTGAAATCATGTATATATATATATAAACATGATTTTGCGCACCGCTGCCGCACTGTAGCAGTATTTCTGCAATAGGGCAGCGGTAAAGTGGCTAATTCATTTTTAATATTTAAAGCAGACTCACCCATCCATCCTCGTCTCCATGCTATATTTTGCTGAGAAATCACTTTCAAAAACAACCCCTAGCATTTCTGGCCATGGCCATCTTGAGTAAGAGCAAATGATTCATGTAGCATTTACTTCCTGGAATCCATCTGCTCTTAGCTCAGGAATGCAGGCAGGAGGGCATTTTTAGCTCAGAAAAGCGCTCCTCCTCTCCTGAAGACTTCTGGGATGTATGACAATTTGCCTAGGCATGGAAACCAGGAGGTAACATGCACAGCTCAGATCACATTACCGCTGACAGGCAAGGGGGACATTTATAACAGAAGACACTCTCTTCTGTTATTAAAACCTTGCCCGTCAATAATGTTTGCATTTTTAACCTTTACTACCACTTTAAAATAACAAACATGTTATAGAATGCATGGAGGTAAAAAAAAACTTCTGCCTTTATAACCTCTTTAAGGTAAAAAAATATTTAGGATTTAGAACCACTTTAGCATAGTCAGGGATTACTTTGCAACCAGCAATTAGGATTGCAGCAGAGTCTGTCATAAACAGCCCAGTGTATAGAATGTAGTGGTCAGGAGTATGAAAATGTACAGTATAGTGTATATAGAGTACATAATGCAGGGGTCAGGGGGAAATAACCTACAACACAGGTCAGTAGACAAAGCACAATCAAAAATTATTACCCCGCCTCCCCAAGCCAACATATCCACTGGTACAAATCCTCCCACATCCATCAACTCCTCCAGTACAGATATGTCAGTAGGGGCAGATTGAGTTTCCTTGCATCTCAAATTGTTCAGAGTAGCCTGCAGTCTATGTGATTTTTATTTTTATTTTTTAGGTATGCTGTGTAAATGGAACACAGACATACGCTGTTGAGGAGCAATTAGTTTAAAAAAAATTATCTATTCCAACTGGTATGCAGGCCATAGACGGGCCGTTTATCGACCGAATTTTAGGCCGATAAAAAAAAAAAAAAAAAAAAAATCGGTCATTGCTGGCAGTGGTGCTGCCACCAATGTCCACGAAAAATGGCCGTTTTTCGTGGATTTTCCAGCATGACCGATAAAAGTAAAACGAGAAGATCTGCGAAAAACGGCGGGTGGTATTGCCCCACTAACGGAGTGAATATCAGCCGATTTTTCATGCGGACGAAAATTCGGCCAATAAATGACCCGTCTATGGCCTGCATTAGTTCTATGACCTGATATGCCTGTGCCAGCAGTACCCATAGTCCTGCTCCTCCCACCTACCCCATCTGTGGACTAGATTTGGAATGTATGGAAACCCAGACATATTTATGCAACACTTTCCAACACTCTGAATTGTATTACCTAAGGCACAGGTGTCAAACTGGCGGCCCTCCAGCTGTTGCCAAACTACAAGACCCATTAAACATTGCAAGATTGACAGTTACAAGCATGACTCCCAAAGGCAGGGGCATGATGGGACTTGTAGTTTCAGAACAGCTGGAGGGCCGCCAGTTTGACACCCCTGACCTAAGGGCATTCAGATTGTGCCTGTACATTCGATTTTCCTAATGTCAATTACCCAGCCATATATATTTTTGTAAGCATCTATAAAAAGTACCAGGCTGTGACTACCTGACCAAAAACACACTCATTAGGTGTTTATGGGTGGATTAGGTTTCAGTGGACTTTGCATGTAGATAACATGATCAAAGATCACAGGAATTGTTTGTGTTTGAATGATGATGACACAGAAAGCTTATTAATACCTCAAGCTGTTCTTTTACAGAAACTCATAAAAACAACTGATCTGTAAGCTGGTTTTCATGTTTCAACTTTTTTTCTAGATCTCCTGATAAATAAAAACCTGTATATGCTACTATAAAGCACATAGATGTGATATATATGGTAAAGAAGAAAACATTATGTAGTCAAAACTTAGATACCCAGGTCCTATTCACCTTTATTGAACCTCTTGAAGTAACCAGTAGTTTGTCTCTAGGTTAATATCCTCAGCATATCCAGTGCTGGCTTGGCTTGCCCCGACCACAGGTTCAAAAATAAATAAATAAAAGCTCCTCTCACTGCAATTATTGACAACTTACCTTGGCTTACCGCTGATGCATTTAATTTGCAGGGAGCACGCTGTGGGTGAAATGCACCAGAGGGAGAAGCCCAAGTGGGATGTCTATGATCTCGTGGTTTATCAACGTTTATTGTGGTGGGAAGATCTTTGCAGTGCAGCCTCCATTTCTCTATGTGTACGTAACCACTACGGTTATGCGGTGCCTCAAAATATGGTACCCGATAATAAGCCTTTCTTTGACAATACAATGTAAACTCTTTACATATAGGATGAACCCAAAGAGCACAAATTTCTTTTTTTACCCTGAGGTTTATAAAAAGTTGTCCAGAGATCATGCACAATTACATGAGATGATCATCCTAGTTCTGTCCCACACAGCTGGAACTTTTATAGTTGTTCACCTTTTTTGGCACCGTTCATGAAATGTTAAAACATATCTTAATACTTTTTACACTAATAAAGCTACATGCTGCTAGTGTGAATGATGACTGACAGCTATGTGCTGCTCCTGTGAATGAAACCTCACACAACTACATGCCGCTAGTGTGAATGCAGCCTAACACACAGTCATGTGGCTTGTGTGAATGTGGTCTAACATGACTACGTGTGGCTATTGTGAATAAGACCCAATAGAATTGCATGCCACTACTGTTACCTAACAAAGATATGTGCAGTTAGGCAAGCCATAGATGGAAAAAAAGAAAATCACACTTGATTCCCCCATCAACATAATCACTGCTGTTGATGGGGGAAGCCTCCCGCAGCGCTACTGTATTCTGCTGGGGGGGGGGGGGGTAGCTTTCCCAGCCAGCAAAATACAATAGCACTGCAGGAGGCATTCCCCCATCAACAACAGTGACTATGTTGAAAGGGGAATCTAGTGATTTTCTTTCCTTCCACCACAGGTGGAAAATCAATTAATTTATGACTTGACTTCTGTTCTAAGGTTTGCTCTTAAGTTGAATTTGTATGCGAGTTAGAACAGGTACATTTTTTAAGTTTAACTCCAGCCAAAAATATAATTTTGAAGGTTTGGATAGCATAGGGAGGGGTTAACTGACCATGCAGTGATGTGGGATGCTGACAGGTCCACCAGACAGTAGGTGGCAGCATGCAGTGAGCAGCAAGATTGCCACACGGCCATTTCTGGGACCAGCGTGACATTATGCTGCCTCTGTTCTTAAGTACAAGTCGTAGGTACCTGTAAGTCGGACGTTTGTAACTCGAGGATTGCCAGTATACAGAAAATCAGTGTAGGTGCTGGTACCTGCATAATCCAGTATTACACCAAGGAAGTAAAAATAAGCCATGCTTTGAGTGGAGAAAATGTTTTTTTTTAAACTTTGCAATCTAAGAATGGTCAGTAAATAAGTAACCAAGTTGTAAATACACTTAGGATCATTACATTGCTTGTGTCATAAAATACTAAATCAAACCTGAGACCCTATCTCGCTCTCCTTGCTGGACAATAGTGGTAAAGTGAGGAGTAAACAGAATGAGTCCTGGTATCTCCAATGCCTACATAGATTCCACAATTAAAATTTCTTCAAGAGACAATTTAGATAATAAATCGGTTAAAAAAATGTTCAGGACACCAGTGAGTGTTGGCTGAGCAGAGTGGGAGAGGGTGAATATCTTTTCTTTATCTCTAAGGGACAATAACAAATGCTCCCAACTGATGAAAGTATTCAGGAATGCAATTCCAACTTGTTGAGTCTATTAAGCCCTGTACACATGGGCCAAATATCGGCTGTTATCGACCGGTTCAACAGTTAGACATTCAGTCTGTGTGTACACCCATCTGTCTGACAAAAGCTGGCTGAATGGCTGGCTTCTGTTGAACAGACATACAAGAAGACCAGCATCACATCAGTGCTGAACACAATAAGTCATCGGGGAGATCGCTGTACTAACATCACATAGTAAGTAAAGAGAGCTCCTCCTGAGCTCTTTTCGTTTGGCTGCTGGATTGAACAAAAAATCTGATGGTATGTACCCAGAATTAGAAAGGAAGAAACTACAGGACAGCTTGTAATGTGTGAGTTGTGAGGTCTTCAAACTAGGCAGATGGTTCCCCCATAGTTCTCTGGTAACATTTTCACCAACTTTCCCTTTTATACTCAAGCTGATAGAATTGAGAATTCCTAGTTACCACACCAACATACTCATTGATGTAGACCTATCATACTGAAAAATCATCCTATGAAGCAAATGGCTCCAAATTTCCAATCACCACATACAGTTAGGAGCGACAGAGATGGTCAGTACATTTTCTTTTCTTTCTTGTCGATTGAGGGACACAACCTGGAAGGCTCTCCAGTCAGCCAAAGTAAAGGTTTTCTCAGTTTATACTGGTGTTTTCTAACCCCTGAATTTATGGACGCTGCTCCAATCATCTACAGCTAAATTTAGGTTGGATATGGAGAACCTGAACAGCTGTCTAATAAGCCAAGGCATTCCTCTAGTTGGCAATGAACAGCCATCTGTGTTCCTGTCCCCACAGGAATCTGGCCCAGCTCTGAACCGATAACTCCATGGAGAATCCCCTAACATACTGGTCTGACTTGAATAGCAATTTTCCTATCTCCATCATTGCTACTGTAACGAGTACTTAGCCGCCTCATGATAGGTTATGGTTTCCTTTGTTTGGTACTGAAGGTATTTACTATAGAAACAACTGTAGCTGAATGGCCAATTTTCGGGAGGTAAAATCC